GGCCGTTTTTTAGTATCAGCTGCCTAGTTATGGAGGTTAGCTGGATCCGAAATACGGTTACACCGCTGGACGACCGTAGATAGTTGGGGGCCCAATTAATGAGCCAGCCACTCATGAAAGGCTGCCCGCCATCTTACGAAAATTCTGGGATAGCTGCACCATGCCGGTTGGCGACCGAAGCAAAGAGCCTGGTGGCGATTTCCAGGGGGGTACGGGAGTCCCCGCGATCTCCATGCTAGGTACCATTGATGCTATGACTCTGTTTGCGTCATTATATTATATGTGTGACGCCTCGTCCATCTGCCATTGCTTCAACCTATTCAGTCCACCATATATGATAAAAAGGAAAAAGAAGAGTAAGTTTGTACAGCGGTTGCACTCCCTCTCCATCAAAGTGCACTTCACAAACATCCGAGCCTGCACTGTAATCTCAATGCAGTCCACTACCACCTTGAGACTCACAAGCCGCACTTACTCTTCTTGACTGAGACGCAGATCAGATGTCCTCTCGATGCGGTTTACCTTGTCTACCCTGGGTACACATTGGAGCATAATTTTTATCAGAGCGCCGGAGTCTGTGTTTACGTCCGCAACGACATCTGCTGTAAGCGTCTCCGTCACCTTGAAGACCCCACTTTCTCTACGATCTGGGTATTGATAGACACAGGAATGGATAAAATTATTTATTCTTGTGTCTACCAATCGCACAGCGGTGACCAGGATACAACTAGGCTGTAACTCCACAATGGAATGAAACTAGGAAGCTAGAAGATAACAACAGAATATGCAGTATTAATCAAACACTGCCTTACATCTGGCTATCTATTGTGGAAGGATGAGCTCGTCTGTATCTCCAGTAGTCGGCGACATATTCATGGAAAACTTCGAGGAGAAAGCCCTTCTTACTGCTCCTGTAAATCCAAGATACTACAAGCGGTACGTAGACGATACTTTCACAATTTTACCACCCGACAAACTAACTGCATTTTTAGACCACCTTAATCCTATAAACTCTAAAATACAATTCACAATGGAGTTAGAGGCAAACAATTCTTTAACTTTCCTAGATGTTTTAGTCATCCAAAATCCTGATATGAGTAATGATGAATACCCTATCTACCAATATTTAAATGGTGAATCGCACCATCATTCATCACAGTTAGCTACCATGGGAAAATCTTTGTTTCAGAGGACACGAAGGATCTGTGACAGAAAACATCTGGCCGCCGAGCTTAAGCAGGTCGAGCAAGTATTGCAAGACCACAGTCGAGCGTGTGCCTGCTGTACTACCCTATGTCAGAGGAGTCACAGACAAGGTTGGCTACATCTTGTAGCAAGCTTCTATTAAAACATACTTCAAGCCGCGGAAGAAGATTAGTCAATTTTTACCATCCGTCAAGTGTCATATCCCTCTACAAGATGCAGGAGTGTAAAAGCTGGATTGTGAATGTGGTCTCTCTTACATAGGACAAACAAAAAGATCTATTAAAACCCGCGTGAAAGAACATATAGCTGACTTGAAGCACCGATGTTCTAGGAAGTCTGCAGTGTGTGAACATGTTCTAGATTGTCGCCGCCATTACATTAGATTCGATAAACCACAAGTCCTCGCAAAAGAATACCGATTCCTACCAAGGATGATTCGCGAGGATATTGAAATTAAAAAACATCCTAATTTCAATAAAGAAGATGGATGGGTGCTGGCATCTGCTTGGAATCCTATAATTAATAAAATTAAATCCAAACCCAAGCATACACATAACATAACTATGACATCGGAACAAAATAAAATCCGTAAAAATTAGTTTCATTTAATTTGTAGTCTTCGCGTAAATATAAGAAATCATTACGAGGATAGATGTAGATATCTATGGGCCACAGCATCCACTCACCATCAGGTGGACTCTGTGCTCGTTTGTAACCCTTATTCTATAAAAAAATCGCATGAACTTTGTAATTTAATAAATAAAAATCTATATCTAATAACTATGTAATAATATAGATTTTTATTTATATATACCTATATCTAATAATAAAAAATCGAAACTAGCCGTGTCATCTGAAATCGTTTAATCAAAAAATCGATTATTTCACTCGAAATAATCGATTTTTCGATTTTCAGATCGATTTAGAACAATAAATGGATTCGATGAATCGATCCACTAACCTCTCGAGTCGGACTGCTTCAAGAACAAGCGATATTTCAAATGATTCAAGAAATACATTTGTATAGCTGGAACATCTGTTCCTTGTTAAAGGCTCTTTTCTGTTACGAGAAATATTGCTACTGCCGAAAGGAGACATCTAGATCACGAGCGACTAGATAAATTAATTGTTTTAAAGTTTTATTTAACTTTAATAAAATTTTATAAACTTACATCATTAATTTAATGACTGACTTACTTAGGCTAGTCTAGAGACTTAGGCCCGTATTAATAAACGTTACTCAGCTCACGTACACGCACTTGAGTACAATATTGAAGTTATGACTTATGTTTGTGTTACGTTTATGAAGTTATGTTTAGGTTTACGATATCAGCTGAGTGCCACACTAATTAATAAACGAAACTCGACTCTCAAGTGTGTGTACTTGAGTGCAAGTCACAGAACAGTATTCCTAAGAATTCCTAAGTGTTTTGAGATACTGTTTTTATGTGTTTATTAATTAGCGACGATCTTGAGATGCTGATATCGTAATCATATCGTATCAAATGATTACGCACTTGAGTTCGTCGTTGAGTGACGTTTATTAATACGGGCCTTAGACTGCCTCGTTGGCCTAGAGGTCGCAAGCGCGACTACTGAGCAAGAGGACCTGGGTTCGATCCTCGGATCAGGTCACACCCCGGGATTTGTGTCCAGTATTACAATAGACTCATCCCCTATTACATGGGAAATCTAACGTAAACATAACTGGTGATAAGTGGGAGTACAACACACCTCTGCCTACTCCTTCAGAGAAATACAGACGTGATGTTATGTTTATTAATTTAATGTTATTAATATTCAACTACTTGTATATATGTATATAAATTATCATCAATAATGTTCTGTGTCTATATTAGGCATGTTTGAAAATGTCCCGATTAATCAAAAATCGATCTTTTAATGCTCGATTTAATTGAAAATCGATTCTAGTAGGTTCGATTTGAATCGAATCGGAGATCGATTGCTTTTAGGTGAATCGACATGCCCAATCGAGACATATAGATCGTTTTTGTTACGATACGCCAATTAAGGCAGGTAAAAGTCTTAGACCATACAGCTTGGTTCCCTATATTAAAAAGTACTCTGTGGCTTGGACTTTTGCCACAAAATAAACCTCAAAATATAATGATTTAGATCTATGAAGTTGCTAATAATATTACAAATTAAACAACAGCATGGTTGTTATAAAAGGTGAGTTAAGGTAAATTATAGATAAAAATATACTTAAAATTTATGTATGTTGCATTATTAGAAGGCACGGATGAGCTAATATATAAAATATATAACTAAACAATATATAATAAAGTTAAGTAATAATGTCCATAGTCGCTGAGGTATTTGCATGTTTGCCTACAGAGAGAGATTACAGACGCTAGACTGTACTTTATACAATCTTTATTGCTTTGCTTAACTTTTATTATGTAGGTACCGTAGGTACCTAACACGAATGTAACTCCGTTTCCGTATAATTTAGTTAATCATTTATGCTTAAACTGCTCAGACCCATGACACCTAAATAATGCAATGCATAACGCAAAAGTTTTTCACATAATACGACAGAATAAATCAATAAAAACCTTAATAAAGTATGTACTTGAAAGAATTTATTGTTAACAATGTAACATCACTATTTACAAACAACAATATTTTATAGATACGCAAAGAATGATAAGAAGTAATTAAATAATATGAATTATAGGTTTAAGGTAAATAATTACATCCATCTTCTTACTGTCGCAAAAAATATAAACGTTTTTACTATAATGTAAAAACGTTTATATTTTTACAGCAAAAACTAAATCACTCACATATGAAATGATAATTCGCGTTTTGACTATATTTTGAGGCACAGTCTCTTACACAACACTTAGTCATCTTCGTACATTATAATGAATTGAAAAATTCGCCATAAACTGTTTAAAAGTTCGTAAAATTTTAAAATTAAAAAATATCAAACGACTTTTTATAACAGCAAATCTGAAACAAGAAATGGCGGAATCGGCCGCAAGGCGGGGTTAAATGACGTCATCTTAAAAATGTTTACCAGAATATGAAACAATTTCTATTATCTGTTTCTTTTATGAATGACACTTTTGGCTGAGTGAAAAAGAGATAGACAGCTTATTGATAATTCAATGTCGTATTTAACCATATTTGTATAACCAATAAAACATAGAGACGTTCTGGGCAGCTCCTCTATTTTCTATGCTCGAAGTGAGTAATGTAAACTGACAGTTTGACGTGAGGTTTTGGCGGGAACTTGACCGGCGGCGGATTGCTGCTCCTGTATTATTGTTTAAATAATGGTTTTAAGTGGACTTTCATATGTAAAAGTGGTGCGATTTTGTGTATTAAGTGTCTGCGCATATAAACTATTAGTTGTAACTGTGAAACAAGTGCTCTAATGGTGATGTGATTCTCAAAATAAGGTGTCTGTCTGCTTAGGCGTCTTGAGATACCATCGCCAACCGTCAGCTGTCTGCTGGCTCAAGTTGCCGTCAAAATCTCCCAAGGGCTGCACAATGTGACGCATCAACATATTGTGAAGCAATATACTATGAAGGATAATTATTATAATATATTGTAACTTCAGGCTCAGAAGGGCTAGATCCCAGAGCTTTAAAGCCAGTTATTAAGAAAGAAGAAGAATTGACAGTTTGACAAATTTGCTTATTTGACATTGACAGTTTTGACTTTTGAATAAGCGTTTGCGGCTTTTTGCCTGTGTGATGTTAAATAAATAGTAAACAATTTATGTTTTACCAACTTTAAACATTGCTTTTTAAATGAAGATGAACGCTACTAGTTTATATGTTTCTACTTGCCGGTTAATAATATTAGCAGACACCACTGACAAAAGTACGTGGACCGATTTATTTCGTTTGGTCCCTTATTTACGTCAATCATTGTCCTGCACAGTATGTGGGAACCTCCTTAAAGAACCCTACACGCCGACTGGTTCTGGTTGTCAACATCATGTCTGCAAAAAGTGCAAGGGTGGCAGAAAGAAGTTAAAACCATCGTGCAGTTGGTGTAAAGACTATGAAAATTATGCAGAAAACTTACAATTACGGATCCTCCTGCAGTGTTATAAAAAACTATGTGAATATTTTATGGGTACGGATGTATATAAAACCTTAATTGAAGAAGAAGAAATTGCTGCGGGAGTTAATGGAGGAACTGTAGCAAGCTCCGGCTTAATTGATTTAATTCAAGAAGGAGCAGGATTTTCTGATGATTATAAGAGCAACGCGGGTCTTTCTAAATCAGCATATAGCATATTACCTTGTGTTTACACAAATTCAGCTTCAACACAAACTCAAGCGGCTTCTACATCAAATAGTACAGAAATAAGATCAACTAAGGATTCACCTAATTCAAGAGCAATTTCAAATGGTTCTCCACTTTATTCAGTAATGTATGCTGGTACAGGTAACAAGATAACTATTAAAAGAAAAGCAATTGATGAAACAGACTCACCTCCTCAAAGTGAACCTCCTCCTAGAGAAAGCAAAGTAAGTATAGTTTTACTGTGGTTATTGCATTTTTTAAATTAATTATTTGATTTCAAATATATACTACTTTCATTATTAATAATAATATAGGTAATATAGGTAATTATTACTTTCAGTTGAATCAGTTAGGGTTTAAAAAGCCCTCAAACAGATCTCGTAGTTCTGCAAGCAGCAAGAGAAAAGGTTGTCGGTGTGGCAATGCCACTGCAACTCCTGGAAAGTTGACATGTTGTGGACAGAGATGTCCTTGTTACGTTGAAAGCAAGCCCTGTACTGAATGTAAATGTAAAGGATGTAGAAATCCACATAGGCCAGATGGCATGAAGGTAAAATATAATAATAAATTATTATCCCTAATATTGCCACCCCTGCCAAATATCAAACTATAGTTTGAAGAAAATGATAAGTAAAAATTTATAATTTTATTTACAGTCTGTAAGGATAAAGAATGGGATTAGAAATAGCGGCTCATTGAGCCCTTACAGTCAATATACACAGACTAGTAGCAAAAATACACTAATCATAAAACATTATGTTATTCACTCAATTTGAAATTTTCTATTAATGGAAAATATCTTTCTTTCATTGTAATGAGAAAATATTTGATAAGAATTGTATACCCTAGTAGGTACATTAAATGAACCCTAATGGGTGGGATCTATTAATGTGGTGTTATTTAGACTTGAGGTAAACATTAAAGATCATTTATTTTTATTTTAATAAAATTTCTAAATTTTTCGGATAAAATTTCTAAATTTTTCAGATAAAATTTCTAAATTTTTCGGATAAAATTTAATCAAGATCACTCCTGGTATTACTCTCTATTTCTGTGTGAAGTTTTATTACAATCGGTTCAGCCGTTCTGAAGATTAGCTCTGACAGACAAACAAATGAAAGTTTTAAAATGGTTACTCATGTATAATGGCATGTAAATATTTTATATAAAAATATTAACAAACAAAATCAACAATAATTATGAAGGAAACTCTCAGAATGTCTAGCTCAAAAATTAGCTGACTTAATTATATATACTTAATAAACTTAGACTGAATTTTTTTGTCGTTTATGGAATTTTGTTATCATTGATGCCAATGACAAGTTAGATTGAAGTATAGAACATAAGAAAAACGCATATCGCAACATATTTTTTGCACTCTTTCAGTGGGTGTGAGTATAGATAGCGGCAGTGTGCGACCGAGAAGTGAATAGAGGTGATGCTATTTTCAATCTCATTCTTTAACTGCACAAGTAGTACAGACAAAATTAAGGGGAAAAAATAAAAATAATACTTTTTATTCTTATATACATATTAGATATCTTTTGTTAAGTGCATTACTATGTTATTGACCTCCATTATGATAACTTTATAGATGTAGTTGTTTCTAGTGGAAGACGAGTGATTACATGTAGTTATATTTTATCTAACCAAGTTCGAAAACCCTTATTTATGAATTTCAATCTGATAATAGAAGTCTGAGATTTTTTTTAAATAATGCAATTATGGTATTTCAGGTGAGGCCACATATACCTCAGTTAGATACTTTACAACTTACATTAAATACAAATCCAGATAGCTCACCTTCATGTTCCGGCTCAATGGATAGTCTAGATACTGATACATTAACTATGGAGGCGATGGAAGAGTCTTTAAACTTTAGTACAGACCTTAAGACATCTAATATAAAAGGTAACTTCTTTGGTTAATTTCTTATAAATAACAGATATGTAAAAAAAGTAACAGTAGTAATAATATATATACACAAGTAGGGATTAATCCCTTGCAATTTGATCAGTAGGGACTGCACTAGTCGGAAAATGGTCCTCCCTCTTGTTCTGATTTTCCCAATAAGTATTTCTTTCCTGAATAATTCACATATTCAAAACCCTCTAACTTTATAGGTTAGGCCCTTAGGTCTTTTATCTCTTTTTATAGACAGACTTAAAAAATGAAGGAGGTTCTCAATTCAAATGTATAATTTCTTAATAGATTATATGTTACATAATATCTTTCTTAATTGTGAATCAATTTTAATGTCTTTTTTTCGTTAAATGGTAATACATTAGGGATGGTAATATAAATTTTGAGTTAAAATTTCATTCCTAAGGGTGAAAAAAAAAGCGCCAATATATTAAAATTTTTGTAAAGTGAAAGTCAAACTTAAAGAGCTAAAAGGAATAAAATAACTGCTATAATATCTTTTTAAGTTTACACTCTCACAATTCTTCTATACACTGTTTCTTAGCACCGACAGTTAAACAACTTTAAAAAAGGAGTTTCTCAGTTTGACCCCTGTATGTTTGTATGTATGTATGTTTATCTGCGATTATCTCGCGTTTGCCTAAACCGATTTCGATGCGGTTTTCAGAAAAGTATTTGTTATATTCTGGAGAAGGTTTTGGTATTGGTATTGGGTTTGGATACCACATGAATTCGTCCTCATGGATCCGTTATTAAGCGATATATATTAGTTCAACTCGACCGATTTTGTTGATGCGGTTTATTACAAATTGAAGTCGGCTTTTTACTTTTTGTTAAAAGTTATAATTATTTTTATTCAAATTTTACTTTGCTTTACCTTTCAATGAACTAAATGAAAAGTTCATCTTCTAAAATAATATTGCTATATAATAAAGCCTTTATTCGGACAAATATTGATTGATACACACATACGTCCATATTGACTTAAAATCTTGAAACTAATTTTGCCTCAACATACCTGTCTGTGTGCCTCTTTCGACAAAGGCCTCCTCCAACTGTGACCATTTTTCTCTGTCACTAGCCACTCTTATCCATGTGTCACCTGCAACAGCCTATATTTCATTGACCCATCTTATGAATGGCATGCCTCATTTCCTTCCCTTGTTTCTTGTGAACCAGAAGAACCATTTTTCCATGCCCCTGATTGTTTGCTCTACCCATTTCCATTTCAGTTTTCTGATGGTATTGCTATTATTATATTGCTGTATGTCTAAAAAAATTATTAAAGTATAACCAATATCAAAGAATGTTATACTAACATTATTTCTGGTGTAATAGGAGTTATAGTTATTCTATTACACGATGAAGTTTTGATTTTATATGTTGTTAGCTGTGCGCATACACATTGTGTTAGTGTGTGTAGGCCTCTGTAGTGCACCCATATTTTTTTTATTAAAAAATGAATCCTATCAATATTCTCATAAAATTTTCGTTTCTAAAAACTGCAGGTTATTATCACAGTATAGTCATATAATATTTTCTAGTCTTATTTAACGTTTCGTATGGTGAGTGCAGAGTACCGACAATCCATTTTAGTGGACATGACACATTCTATCTCTCAGTCCTCAGAGGTGACAACGCATCTGCAATTAAATTTTAATTGAGGATATGAGTAGATGTTTGTGAGCCACATCATACACTTACCATCAAGTAGACTGTCTGCTTGTTTGTCACGCTTATTCTATTTTATAAGATTGACCTGTAAGTATGTTTGTATGAATGTAATGTATTTTATAATTAAGTTTTCACTTACTTCACATCTGAATATTCTGAAATTTTGCAGACATTTAGATCAAATGTCAATACAATAATTTCTTGACTATGACCTAGCATCATCTCTAGGGCCACTGCTTATGATCAGTGCAATTTGTTTTTGTTTTTTAAACTCAATTTTTTCTATTTATCCTCTAGATTCACATTGCTTGTATATTTTCTTTAAAATAATATCTTTCCTTTACAGTTTATACAAGTCAATTACAAGAGGTATCACCGTCTTTACCAGCCACAATAATGATGGATGAAGAACTGCCTGGATCACCTGATGATGACATGAGTTCTCCACAAGAGTACATGTGCTCTCCTCATGATCCAAATGATCCAGACACGGCGTCTCCCCAATCTGGAGGCTTCCATGATGTCACCAGTGATGTTGAAGTTGATGTATGACAGCCGCTTTCTAGTGACTAGGGTAATTTAGTCATTGTGCATATGCACTGTTTAATGAACCAAAAACTCTATAATATGTGGTATGAATATTTTGACACTATTAAGGTTCTGCTAGTCACATTCGGATCAAACTGGTTTTCTTATACCAAAATATGTAGGTATCTGATATTATTAGTGGCATTAAGTATTAATTTTTTAATAGATATAATTTGAAAATGATTTCTTTAATGTGTTATAATGATAATGAATAAGATATGTGTATTGTGAAATGCCGAATCACTGAAATGTAGTAAATCAAATCAAATCATTTAGTTGCATTAAATATGGTAAATAAGATGGAAAATATGTAATAAGTTTTTATATTTAGTTCTTACAGACATGCAAAACACTGGGCAAAATTTATAAAATTGAGATTTACACATAAACTTTGATAATAGTGGTTTAAAGTGAAACAAAAGCATATCATGAATCGGAAACATTTACATTTAATGCTATGTTAATTTTTTTGTCAGTCAAAATCTACAATACTTATTATTTCATCATCATCTGTCATCATTACAGCCCATCACAGGTTCATTGCTGAACATAGGTCTCCCCCAAGGAATGCTATAAAGTGTCATCCTGAGCCAACTGCATCCATCAACTTCCTGCATGTCTTACAAGATCGTCACTCCATCTAGTATTAATTATTACATGACGGTACTCTTATATCGAATACCCTCTACAGTAGCTGAATTTGTGTTAGGTAATTTTTTTGGACGTAGCAATGTTTTATTTGCGTTCACTGATATAATATAGTATGTATATTTTTGTACTGTATATTTTTTTGAAACTTCTATTATCTGTAACCTGTAAATCAGTGGCATTCCGCTACCTGGCGCCGGTAATAAAATTGGAAATCTTTGAAATTTATTATTTGAAAATGAATGAAATAATATACCTAATGTATTATTCTTTATACTTAAAATCTCTATTGTCAGAACTTTCAATGCTATTGTAGTCATTGTGTTTAAATCAAAATCATTTTTTTAAGGTTTTTAGTGATATCATTTAGAATGTTAAGGCAGGGAGCTGATTTTTCTTTTCTCAAAATGCTGCGCCCTCACATTTGACGTCTGGGGCTACGGCCAATATAGACATTTTATAATTGTCCCCTCACAAATGAAAAGAGGTCCGTGTGTTATTAGCGCCGAAATGCTATTTTACAGGGTTTCATAGCTAAATCAAAAAGTTGAGTTGTATGTAATATTTTCATACATTTATTGATCTATTTTGTTAATTCTCTAGTACATCATTTATCTAAGTAATAATGACATTTTAATAAGAACATAAAATGTGTTGATATATACATCACTAAAGGCATTTCTTCATCATTACCATCATCACAGCCCATCACAAGTCTACTGCTGAACATAGGACCTCAAGGATTGCCACATAGCACGTTTCTGAGGCACGTGCAACCATGAACTTCTTTCATCTCTTACCAGGTTGTCACTACATCTAGTGAAGAGTCGGCCGGCCTACACTTCGTTTCCCGACACGAGGCTGCTATTCTAGAATTTTATTTACCTATCTTGTGTCGGATCATCGAGCTATATGTTTTTAAAACGCTCATTGCCACTTTCGTTTACTGATCCGTGGGGCTATGTCGGTTACTCTGGTTTTATTGCAGATATTCTCATTATAAAATCTATCACGCAGATAAACTCCAAGTATAATGTTCTTTATATGGCCAGAAGTGCGGACCACCTCTTAGGTCTATACATTACTTGTGGCAACAAGGCAGAGTTGGCATGAATAAATCATTTTGATTTAAATAAAAATCAATGATTTAATCAAAAATGTTTAATTTCACTTTCTTTCACAGAAATCAACATAAAAAAAGCAGATTTAGAAATTATAATTAAGTTACAAACAAAGGTCGTTTAAATCTGAGAAATCAATATCATTATTGTAATATTTGAATAAAAAAACTAGTTTTCCCAGCCTTTTCAATTCCCAGTTGGTTTCTTAATTTGCTCTGAACAATTCGAAAGGTGGAAAACACTCTTTCCACAGCAGCTGAAGAAGCTATCGCCCAAACATTTGCTTCACCACTGGAAAAATTTTTGACTGTTCCTCTTCACTAAATATATTTTTCTGTGACATCCACCACTGTAATGGTGTCACATTTTTTACTATTTCTTCTGCAAACATCACAATTTTAAATAGTTTTGATTTTGGCTTAAGGTTTACTATCAATGGTAGCAAAACTGAACCATCATAGTTATTTCGTGCTTCCTCCAACGCACTTTCTTCTTCATCTGTCAGTGTGAATTCTGTTTGGGTTGGGTCTAATAAAAATGCCAAAAAGTGACTGGGGGACATTGCTTGCTTATATCTCTTTTGAAACTTCGACATTTGGCTAATATTTAAATCCGTTTCTTCAAATTTAGCTCCAAGCTTCTTTCAAGCCGTTACAGCAGTAGACAAATTTGCATTATTTCTTTGTAAAGTATCCAATCTAACAGATATTGGCTTTAAAATTATTAGATAATCTTCCACTACTAATCTCTTTACGTCCATATTTTCAACTTTTGCTCTAATAACAGGATCTATGACGTTTCTGTTCTCTTCACATATTTTAGTAGCTTTTACCACTCAGACACAAAGACTTCGAAACATCTTGTGGCAGCACTAATGCATTCCCTCCTTCCGCTTTGTACAAGCTGTTAGTTGCATGATTGTTTCGGAAGTATTTTATTATTTGCACAACATGCTCCTTAATTCTGCTAATTTCTAAATCTTTGGAAAGTAAATTCAACAAGTGTGCAGAACAGCCGTATGTCATTATTTTATCACCTTTTTTAATTCCTTCCGCATTTTAGCCGTGTTCGCAGCGTTGTCGGTAACAAAACTTGCAACATTACAATTATATTAAGACTAATCTTTCTATTAAATCCTCAGCAAGTTCGGCTAGGTATTCACGAGTGTGCGGCTTTCCTGTCGTATCTATCGAGTCAAAAAGAATTCCTTCAATTTGTTCCGTCGTAATAGTGGTATCGGTTCATTGTGAACGTTAGATCACCCATCTATAGACATATTCACATAACTGCCAGATAGATTAGAGAAACACCGTTCTTTTTCTTCAAGGTATATATGATGGCTTTTTTTACTTGTCGATGTTGCACATGGCCTTTGCTATTTGTCGGTCTACTGTTTCTTTTGTAGATTTTGGTGTTGTTACTATAAGGAAGCTTAAGTTTCCAGATAGTTTCTTTTTTTTAAGAGTCGGTACCGCGCAATCGTCGCATTTTGCCGAAGAACTTGCAGATGCGCTTAGGATCGGAAAGTGAAGCCAATTCTGAAAAATAAATAAATATATTTTACTAATGATGTTGTTATTTGTTACACAGTTAGTACCATTAAAACAATCATGTCCACAGTCTTTCATGTCTACAGACATCGAGCAGTTAAAATTTTCCTCTAATCGTACTGTTCACTGAGTACGATCACCAAAGCCATATAGAAAACCAGTTAATATTTTTAGTTTGTTTTGTAAATAATAACTTTAATAACTTAACTACAACTTCAATATCTTCACTAGATTCCGGAATATTATTTTTGCACTTTTCGTTATGTATTTTCATCCTCGCAACCAGACTTTGAATTTCTTTTTTACATTTGTTGCATATAGCCCGATAGCCAGTTTTGGTAGTGTTTTTTTCTGTGAAATGTTCCCAAATCCCATCTCTTTGGCGAGATATAATAAATTAGTCACACAGGCATCACAGCACTAACAATAGTAAATAAAATTGAACGAATGAATGCTTGTTATAACGAAAGTAAGACCGTAATTGCAAGCAAAATGTACAAAACACTACAAGGGGATTTCCCTTTTGCTTGGCATTCACATGTTAGACAAAAGGGAAATCCCCGCGCAATCCCTTAGTGCGCGTTTCGTTTTGCGCAAAAATATAGTTAAATTAAATAATAAAATGAACAAATCTAAAAAATCGTGATTAATTAGGATTTTTTCTAACCCTGCGGCAAACACTGGTACACTCTTGTTTTCAAGTTTTGAGTTATATGTGACTATAAGATGTGCCATAATACTACGAGGGCTGCACTAAAAGTATCGGGAATAGAATATTTCCACTGTTCCTGTCATATTAAAATCTTTTTAATTGAAAAGTCTTTGGTTTTAAAAATCGAATACCATTAATTTATTTAAAAAAAGATTCTCGGTCTTGCCACAAGCTTTTATCAAACTTGTTTAGTCGTCGAGAAAATGGAATTGACTCGAGAAATTTCAAGAGCGATGATTTATTATGACTTTCGAAGTGGTTTAACACAAAAACAGTGTATTGACCGAATGATTTCTGCATTTGGTGATGAAGCCCCATCCAAAACCACAATTTATCGCTGTTTTGCTGAATTTCAACGTGGACGTGTCAAGCTCAGTGATGATCCAAAAACTGCAGTCACCCAAGAAAACGTTGATGCTGTGCGTAAGCTGATTGAGGAAGATCGACATGTGACATACCGCGAAATTCAGACAACTTTAGACATTGGCATGAGTCAAATACAAATAATCTTGCACGAACAATTAGGTGTAAAAAAGTTGTTTTCCCGATGGATACCGCATTCGCTCTGTGAAGAGCAAAAAGCGGCTCGCGTTACTTGGTGCGTCTGAACTCTCGAAAGATTCCACGCAAGATCCTCAAATGCTGTATACAACATCGTATCAGATGACGAATCCTGGATATACGCGTACGAACCCGAAGCAAGAAACCAGTCACGAGTTTGGGTGTTCGAAAATGAGTTAAAGCAAACAAAAATTGTTCGTTCACGGAGTGTTGCAAAAAAAATGGTGGCCACGTTTGGCTCCAAAACCGACCATGTTACGACTATACCTCTTGAGGGACAAAGAACGGTTAATGTAGAATGGTATGCTAGCATTTGTTTGCCACAGGTCGTTTCTGAACTCCGTAAAGAGAACTGCAACCGCTGCATCATCC